CTGGGGGAGGATGCCCCCGAATGCTTCTAAGTTTGGTCAGCGGAGGCTTTCATATTCTTGAAGGACGTTCTTCTGTCTTAGGTCCGACTGTATCGGGGCATCAGAGGAGTAAGATGCTCATGCTTCGCCCGCAGATGCCAGCCCGAACCGCGCTGTCCACGCAGGGCGCGAAGACGCCACCGCGTCAGCCACGCAGCATTTGTCTGCGATTCTGATGCTTGATGCACGCCCTCTGCGGGACCGATGCGGGGACCAGAAGCAACAATGCCGCGATGAATCAACGCACCACCAGCTACATGCTACTGCGGTAGCACACCTGCAAGCTGAACATGTTCCCAACTTTGAAGGTCGCGTAATAGGGGTCGACAAGTGGGGGGTTAGCGAGGGCTGCCGAGAAGGGGACTCCTCAGGGCCCCTCGGGCCCATAAGGGGGCTTTTCGGGCCCGAGAAGGGCTTTTCCCTCTCCCTCTATCGTCCCCCAGAATTCGCGCCCGACAACATTCTGCGAAAGTGCATTTGACGGGACAGCTGGGAGTAACCGAATCGATTAAATCATTCGCACTCAGGCGCGAACCTCAGCTGCCAGGAGGAGTTGGGCACAGCCGAACGCAGGAAATCGTCAGATTCACCAGGAGGCTCCCGTTTATAGGGCCCTCCACAAGTTGGGAACAGCAGCTGGGAACAGCCAGGGCAAGCGAATACCCAGCACTCGGACAACAGGAACAGGCAAGAATTGCTGAAAGTTGCTGATGCGAATCGAGCACCCTGGGGCAGCATAAACAGGCAGGAGCGGTTGGGGGCAAGCAGGCCATGCAGATCTTTGTCGCCTAGGGACAACGTTGACAGCCTGGAGACGCAGCCGAACCAGGCAAGTTCCCAGCACGGATGGACACGAACAGCCGAGGGCAATTACACCCTTGGCAGCATCAGATCTTGCCCCTCCTGGCAAGCCAACGCAATTCCTGATATCCAGACACTACCCAGCGCAAGCTGTCTTTCATGGCAGCAGACTGCTTTGATTTGGCATGCGTGACCAGATCACACGTTTTCCAGTTGTTTCTGAACAGGATGGCTAGCGCCGCCCTGATACGCGGCTCCCGTCGTCCTGTAGTTTTGTTGAACACAGATATTATGATGATGCGACTTGGGAGGACGAAGCCAGGGGTCCATGCTGACGGAGGGCTCCGAAGACGCGGGTCATCGCAAAGCTGATCCTCGCATCATGGCTGATGCTTTACTGCCCGTGGTGCCGAGCTTTCCTGGTGCTCGCCGCGTGGGCGCCTGACATGAGCAAGTACGGATGTGTTGCTGATGTGGCACACATGCGGGCACCATGGCAGGTGTGAGCAACCTCTTTTGTTCGTGAGGTGGCCGCGGGGGTCCATGCCTGCTCGCCTTCCTCCTGCTGAGCGCCACGGAAGCATGCTATCATTGTATCCATTATCGAGCCACGCCGCGCAGCGAACGAATTATGCTGAGCGCGTTAAGCAGACGACCGTGGAGAGTTTGCCCCAGCAGTGCGTTCCCGAATGTGCACGCACGCGATGGTCGTTGCTCCCGTGGGCGGCGTGTCCAGGGTCCTTATTGTATTTCGGTTGTCGGATGGTGGATTTCTAGCGCGGTTCGCGTCGCGACTCGCTTCTGCGAGCGCCCTAGTTCAACGCGCGCCATCGTCCATTACCTCCTGCAACGGCACGCCCGACGTCAACAAAAATAACATCATTGGGGCTGCAAACACAGATGTCTACCTGTTTTGTTTGGCTCACTGCGCAAAGGTGGCGTTTCCGTTTCTTTCATCCGGATGCTGCTGCCTCGTCGGGATGCTCAGTCCAACGGCCACAGCCCTGGGCCGTGTAGAGGAACGCAGTGGCCGCGCGGTGATTACGCAGTGAACGCTACAGTAAACACGTCGCGGGACACGTGCCAAACGTGTTTATGATAGTAATACCCGGCGCGGCACAATGGAGACTGAAGGCTTGTGTCGTGTCCAAGTCTACGCATTTTGAAGACCATGTCTCATTGGAGGTACTGTTTTGATTAAGGTTGGCTGAAAGGGTTGGCTGGGAGGGTTGGCCAGGGTTGGCGGGAGGGTGTGTTGGGGTTGGCCAGGGGTTGGTTGAGGTTATCCTTCGATTGGTGGATCGTTCCCTTACACATTTTAAATTTTGCCACATGTCAAACATTACTACGCTCGGTGCGTGTCTACTGCCCTGAACAGCGTCGTGTTCCATGTGGTCTTCACTGTCGCGTTCATTGTTTGCTCATTGTGTGGCAGTTTTGCCGCGGGATCCGTAAAGGTTGTGTCTCCTCGGGCGAGTGGCCGCTGCGGGAATCATGTCGCAGAGGGCGCCTTCGCCCCTCCGGGTCAAGATGCCGACGAAATTTTCTCGTGGACGAGCTTTCCGAACTCATATTGGCGAGCGCACTTGCGTCCGAAAGCGCCAGCGCACAAGCGCCCGCGCTACCGCTCGCAAAGCTGGCTGACGCGCGCGCGCGCGCGTCAGCTGTGGCACGGCGCAGGACGCGCGCCACCCCTACTGCTTGACACACCAGAGTTTCTTTCTTTGCGGTTTCCTCCTGCGCTCCTGATTGGATGCTTACGGGGCGCAGCTCCAGTCTCTTGTCGATCCGGCGGCACAGCTCCTGCATGCAGCCGGCAGGGCCTGTCAACGTTGAGTCGGCGGCACTGGGCGCGTCTCGCCCATCGACAGACTCATGCTTTCATTTCGTCAATCGATGGATTGACGTCGCGACAACGACGTATTTGGGCGCGCATTCAGGCGCCGCGGCCGAAGGGGGACTCCTTCAGTTTGAGGCGGCACTTCTGGGCGCCGGCAGCCGCAGTTTCGCGCGCGGGCCCATGCGCAAATCATTAGAATGCGAGGGGGAAGCGTATTTGGGTGGCGACCCCCCCCGGGACCCCCCCCGGGACCCATTCCGGGGACCCCCCGGGCCCCCCCTTCCAGCGTGGGGAAAGGATCGAAGGGAAGGGGATTCCCTTCGACTCCGCTCCTATGTTGTCCAATTTTGCTTTAGACGGCGCGTATGAGGGAGAGGGCCCAGGCAAATGGAACAGAGGAGGACGGAGACGACGACTCCCACTGAAAAGCCCGACTCAAACGGAAAAGCCCCTCACACACGCCGACAGGGTCGGCGGATTTGCTCAGCCAGGATTTTCCGAAGCCGCATATTTTTTGTTGGATTGATCAAGCCAAAACGAAAGCCTTGGAAGACACTGTACCCGACATCGCAAGCCCGGGTCGGCCAGTTGGTCCCACCAGGGGCTGCCTTGGCGGGCGGGCGACGGAGCGTGTCCTACTGCGTACAGTTGGATCCTGAAGGCGGCGCATACATGTAGTCTTGCACACGTCTGAAACTGCACCAGCCTGGTGTCGCATCAGAGGAGCAGCGTTCCCCCCTCACCCTGGCCCCCCTCCACAGGAACCCCAGTTTCAGATTCCCTCCATACTAGAGGAGGCGAACAGCACCGCATCTTGGGCTCACCATCGTCTGGGTTATTGCCACAGTAGAAGCGAGGCCACTTCTCGGAAAGCGATGGCCACAGACTTCTCGGTATAAGTTGCCGCGCCAAAGTTCAAGAGAGAAAGATGCCATATAAGTGTGGGCGGGGAGCTAACTCCCTTCATGAACCCACGATAGAGAGCAGCGGCATTACGTAAGCAGTGTTGCAATGAGGTCCCTCTTGGTCTACTCAAATAGCGTTTGGATGTAGCGGAAGAGAGAGGTGCCGCATGATCAAGTGCAGGATGAAGTGAGTAAGGAGGCGGAGAAAGATTAGGTAGAAAAGGAGTATGCATTCACGCGCTTGGAGACGAAGCCTTGCGATGACTGCCTCCTTTCCAAACATCAATGTATAATTGTTGACGCTTCGCGTATCCCCACCAGCCCATCCAGAAACGATGCTCAGGGGAGTTGAGGTGATCAGGGAAGTCGGGGAGCATGCAGAATAACAAAGGGCGGGGGAAGCTGTCACAGACCCCGAGAGGGGGAGGATGGAAGAGGAGTCGTCGTCGTCGTCGTCGTCGGAGGAGGAGGAGGAGGAGGGGGAAGAGGAGGAGGAGGAGGAGGAGGAGGAGGACGGAGAAGGAGGAAGAATCGGAGGAGGAGGAGGAGGAGGGGAAGGAGCTTCTTGGGGGTCTTTTGAGGGCCTCTTGGAGGGCTTTTTGGGCGCCTTGGGGCATCTTGGGCGCCTCTTGGGACCCTCTTGAGGCGCTCTGGGGAGCCTTCGGGGCGCTTTTGGGGCCATCTTGGAGGGAGTCGATCAAACAAGAGGGGGGGTTTAATTAGCGTCCCCCCTCGGAAGCCCCTAAAATCGCCTCTTGGACCCCTCTTGGAACGCTCTTGGAGTGCTCTTGGGCGCTCTTGGGGCCGTCTTGGGGCTCTTTTGGGGCTCTCTTGGGGCCCTCTTGGGCCATCTTGGAGCCATCTCCAGGCCTCGGATGGCCATCGGAAGCGAAAAGGCGAGAAAGCAAAAATCATTGATTTTCCTTAGGTTTTGGGACGATTTTGGCCTCTTCGGGGCCTCCTTGGGGAGCTGTTTGGCCACTTGGAGTTATCTTGGGGCCGTCTTTGGGCTTCTTGGAACCATCTTAGGAGCCATCGTGAGCGATCTTGCGCTATCTTGAGCCATCTTGGAGCTCATCTTGGGTTCTCTGAGGCGCTCTTGGAGCCGTCTTGGGCCATCTTGGACGCTCTAACTACCCGCGGCCCCCCCCGTCCAGGTCCAGGGGAGGGGGTAGGGGGAGGGGTAAACCCCTCCCCAAGGGGGAAGAGGGAGGGGTGGAAGAGGATCTGCTCTAGACCACCTACGCCCAGAGGGCTGGTGGGATTCCCAGGTGCCGCAAGGTTTCAAATATGGTGCGCGCGTGCGAGCGACATTTTGTCATGCGACATTAAGTCATAAGAGTTTGTTTCAGGCGCTCCTCAAGGCGAGGGGTCCTTTTTCCCCGTCCCGCCGAACGCCTCCCTCGCTGTCCGAGGATCAGAGTTTCCCCGTGCACGATGAGCCGCAAGATGATGGAGTACGAAGCTCGACGGCCGAACTTCCACTTCCACTTCCAGGTGGCTTTGGAGAGGCGCCTCGTCTTTCTTCCCTTCCCTGGGTCTCGTCTAACCGATCCCCATCCCCCTCAGGCCATGGAATTTCAGCCCCCCCAGGTCACCCGCCTAGGCGGGATAGTTTCTGCGAAACGTGAGAGGAACAGCATATATCCCCATCCAGGGGGGGTAAGTCGGCTAGTGGGGCCAAGGCTACCCCAGTGGGGACAGGAATCAGTTCAGTGATGTACATTCCTTCCATCGCCGGGCGTTTTGGTCTCTGCGATGGCTGCTCGGAGGTGTGCCCTTGGCGCTGGGCTCCCGACTCCCGAGATGAAGCAGCCGGGCGTCGACGAATGTTGGGCGCGGGGGCGGATCAGGATGTGCGCGCAGGCTCCGAACCTCCAGCGCTTGTCTTGAAACAGTGTCGTTTCGAAGCAAAGTCGAGCGGAGAGGGGCGGGGCACTTTTTGAGGGCCACTCCTCGTGCCTCTCCGCGGCTCGGCCTCCTGACCCCTCCTTTGCCCGTCTGCCGCGGGTGCACACCGTCGCGGATGACTCACCGTGGGGCGCGAGGAGGGATCCCGAGCACGCAGCAGGCACACGAAAATATGGATTCGGCCTGCCAGCAGGTGCCCCACGCAACTGTCTTGTCACCCGACGGCCCTGGATACCCCCAGAAGCTCGGGGGCCACGCAGGGTCCTCAAAGGTCGACGAAGAATGTGCCCCACGATTTCTCACAACAGCATGTCTCATCGTATGTGCCTACTGTGGCCCTGCCCCCATGGTCATGCCACTTCGAGTGTGCGGAAGCAGCGGAAGCGGCTGCTGATTCTGACATGAGAGACATTCCCACATGGCATCGGCAGTGTGACGACAGCGCTGGAAACATCAAGCCGAACGTGGCCTGCGGAACTGTGCCCTTCACGCACTGCCCCCGTAACGTTCGCCCAGGACCCCCAGCCTGGGTGGCGCGTTTCAATGTATGTTTCACAACACGAGCACGCTTTATCCTCTCCCCCTGAACATGTTCGCGTTTGCCCCCCCCGCCGCTTTCGTGCAGGTGTCACATGCGTGTGTTTCGATTGCAGCACCCCCACTCCTTACGTGCTGGTGTTTCCCCCTGCGGCGTTGGCAACATTTCAGAATCAGTGCTTTGCTGCCGTCGTTCAGAAAGGCGCTCTCGCCACCGCGCGGGACACAATTGTGGATCCGAGTCCTTCCTCGTCGTTGTTGCCCCGTGCTTTCCGGTCCTTCGCCTTTCCCTAATCCTCTTGCCCGTCCTGCTATGTTTGCCCTGCTCCTGCTCTGGCTCCTCCTGCTGTTCCTCCTCCTCCTCCTTCTCCTCCTTCTTGGTTATTGTCCTCCTCAGCCTCCTGCCTCCTCATCCTCTCGGTGCATGTTTGTTTCTGGAGCTCTGGGGTAGTTGCCTGTGCCACGTTGACGGTGGCAGCCAGATAATTCCCGCGCAGTTGTTTTGTATTTCCGCCCCAGTTTTCCACTTCGAGGATCACCGCTCCGCCTACCCCTCGCCCAAAGCAGACACCAGTGAAACACTTGGAAGTCTTTGAGTGGTTTGAGTCTCTCGGGAGCATCCTTGAGAGGCTGCTGAGCCAAGATCGTACCAAGATGACATCATACGTCCTAGGATGGCGGCCACTGTCGCGAAGGATTGTCCAAGTGGTCTCAAGATGTTCTCCAGCATGCCCCCCCGGAGGCCCCAAGACGGCCCAGAAACTGCTCCAAGTGGCCTCAGAGACCCTCCGATGAGATCCCCTGAGAGGCCCACATCGTCCAAGCACTTCTGTCAATGATGGTAGTCTTCTCGCTTTTCCGCTTCCAATGGGTTTCTGAGAACTCAAGATGGTTCACAGACCGCCCAAGAGAGCCCCAAGAGGGGACCAGAAGAGCTCCAGGACGGCCCTAGGAGCGACCAAGAGCACCCCAAGAGGGCCCCAAGAGGCGATGTGTCAAGCTCCCAGGGGGCGACGATAATTGAGGACTTCCTTTTTGATCGATGGCGTCCTGGATCGGCCCAGGATGGCCTCGAAGGCTCCCAAGAGGGCCCCTAGAGAGCTCCAAGGGGGCCCCAAGGGAGCCCCAAAGGCCCCGCGTCCGATTGTGCAGCAATCCATTGGCAACACCCTCCAATTACGATTTGAGCAGCAAAGTCTCTTAGGAGACCCCAGCATGGGCGGGAGGGGGTGGCTGCCAGATGTGGTGCGAGCGCGCCTAGATTGGTCCCCCCTCTCTCCCATCATCCCTTCGATCACTTCCTCTTCCCCTCACTTTCCCTCCTCGTCTTCCCGCCTCTGACCCTCGTTCCATGTGCTCCTGCCCTCATTTGCCCCGAGGTTGTGATTGCGCTGTGCTTGATCTGGTGCGGCGGATCTGCAGATCCATGCCTAGAAGCTCAAAGCCGGGGTTTTGTGTCGGTCCCTGAGGGGGAGGGCGAAGCGGAGCAGGAGCAGCAGGATAACGGCATCGGGAATCTACTCCTCGCTCTCCCTCGGCTCGGCCCTGCGCGCGCCCTGAGGCAGCGAAGGACGCCCCCATGCTGACGCTGGCGCCCGAGCCCGAGGAGACGGGGCGGCGGGATTTCCGATCGACACCCGCGCAGGCTTGCGGTCGCGGCAGAGCTCGCACCGCGCCCTCTCTGGTGGTGCTCGGGCTCCCTCCGGGCGCCTGCCTGGCGGGGCCACCACCACCGCAGAGCCGAGCATTCGGAAGGACGCGTGGGCAGAAGAGCGCGCGACTGGCATCTTGTTTGGGAGTGCGAGAAGAGAAGCGGAAAGCGGCGCGCATCACGAGTGTGACGCAGAAAGTGGAGCGCCCGACTGCGAAGCAGAAGCAGGTGTTGCGATGCAGAAGGAGCAAGGGGCGGAGGAGAAGGAGGAGAAAGAGACTACATGCTATGGGTAGCACCCCACAGTTGTGGATAAGAGTGGGGAGGCGGGCGCGGGGTGGGTCGCGGGTGGGTCGCGGGTGGGTGGTGGGGTGGGTCGCGGGTGGGTGGCGGGGTGGGTCGTGGGTGGGTCGCAGGTGGGTCGCGGGTGGTTGGCAGGTGGGTCGCGGGTGGTTCACAGGGGGGTCGCGTTTGGGTCGCGGATTGGTCGCGGGTGGGTCGATGGGTCGCGGGTGGGTCGCGGATGTGTCGCGGGTGGGTCGCGGGTGGGTCGGGGGCAGGTCGCGGGTGGGCCGCGGCCCGGGTCGCTAGTGGGACGATGACAAATCACAACAACAAAACAACTAAGAGTAATCATGATAATAATAATGCTACTTATCATGGTAGCGATAATACGAATGATGGTAACTATATTGACAGTAATAATAATACTGACAGTAATAATCGTTCTGGGTAATAATGTTAGCCAGCGTGGACCCCATTCAGTATGTTCTTGAAGTCTTTGCGGTGCAACCTATGTGGTGCAATTACTTTTTACTAATGATTTGACACGTCCCACGCTCTTGCAAACATCCCACCCACCCACCCGCAACTTGGTTTGCAAAACCTCTTAAGACCGACTATGGCGACACCGAAGACAACGACTACCACGACACCGACGACGTCTCCGACAACTTCGACGACGACAACGACGCCGACGCCGACGACGACGACGACGACGCCAACGAAGACGACGACGAGGGAGGAGGAAGGACGACGACGGCGACAACGACGACAACGACGACAACGACGAGGGAGGAGGGAGGACGGCGACGACGCGAACGACGAAGAAGGAGGCAGGACGTCGACGCCGACGACGACAACGACGAGGGAGGAGGGAGACGACGACGACGACAACGACGACGACGACGGCGACGAAATAGGAGGGACGACGACGAGACGCCGACGACGGACGACGACGACGACGAGGGAGGAGGAGGAAGGACGACCACGGCGACAACGACGACGGAAACGACCACGACGCCAAAGAGGACGACGACGACGAACACGAGGAAAACAGAGGACGACGTAGGACGACGACGACGACGCGGGAGGAGGGAGGACGGCGACGACGACGACGACGACGACGCAAGAGCGCGCGCACGCTTTTGTTGAAAGTCCGTGTTGCGAAACCTGATGTGTTTGTATGTTTTTTTGACACACGATTTTGAAATCCTTCCGAAACCTATGGGTTTTGAAGGTTTTTTGCGTACGCGCGCGACGACGCGCGCGTCTGCACTTCGTCCCATTTTTTGCTGAGGATTCTCGCGACGGCACACGCGCAGGGGCGTTCTACAGATTTCGACATGCGCGCGCGCGAAGCCCGTTTGGTAGCGTTTTGTGAAAATCTTGAAAAAGCATTTTTTCTTAAGATTTCGCAAGAGGTCGCGCGGAAGTTTTTTTAGCAAATCAGTGTTGCGAAACCGGGTGTTTTTTTGGAAACTCGATTGCGAAATCTTTCCGGCACCGAAGATTTTTGAAGGATTTCGGTATGCGCGCGCGAGGACGCGCGCGTGTGCACTTCGTCAATTTTTTGCAAGGGTGTCGCGAAAAAGTGCTATGTTAGAACAACCACTGTCACCGCATGGTTTTTGGTTTTTTACAAGGGAGCCTCAGGGTGGGGAACCCGGTTGGCCTGGCACATAGTGATTTCATATTCAGGATGGACATGTGGTCATAATCATATGTGATTTACATACCCGAAAGGGGTAGCGATAATTCCGGGGGGGTAGAGTGTATTTTGTTTTTGGAAAGGAGAATGTATGCCATGCAACCTATGTATTGCAACCCGTATATTGCAACCATCTCGGGGCCGGTGTCGGCTCATGCGATGCAGCTTTTTCTGGTGAGGGGCGGCGACGGGAGGCACTGGTTCTTTGACGCTCGGTGGCTTGCCTACTCTGCACGCAGCGCAGCAACACGCACCATCTTGCAGCTCACACTCACGTTCTGGAACACACCCTTGAACAAACTGAAAACATTCGTCCAGGCAGTGCAACACTTTTTCTGCTCTTTGGGGTTGGGCTGGCGACGTAAGGTTCTGTAACACATCAGCATCTAACGCTACGGTGATCAAGGTGCCTACGTATCCCTCGCTCAACCCGTTTTTGCAAGCCAGCGCTGGAACAGATATCGTGGTATCTAGTTCGAGCATTCGGGCGTGCATCTCTGCCTGTCGGTTGTACTTGTGTCCGTCGCCCATGGTTGCTTGCTTCACACGTCGCTTATGATGGGGGACAAGAAGGGCCTTGATGGCACAATATAGCCCAGAGTCATCGAATGCGCCGAATTTGCTAAAGTAGTCGTCCATGGCTTCCTTCAGTGCGAACGTGTGCCTGGGATTGCCCACGGCAGAGCTTAATCCACAGTGTCAGTGTTCAGCGTGCGTCGACAATTGGCGCTACTTCCTGTAACGTCTTGGGCACGCACGCACGCCTGCCAATGCTGTTTGTACAACAGTGCGGTCCAAGGCTGCGTGCTCTGTGGCAACGTCGTCTGTAGCGTCGTGGAGCTGCGCGACAGATTGTATTTTTGCTTGCTCTGTAGCAGCGCGCACCGAGGCCGAGGCCGCGCGCTCTGTAGCAACGTGGTCTGTCGCTTCGTGCTGTTGCGCTAGTCGTAGTCGTAGTAGTAGTAGTAGTAGTAGTAGTAGTAGTAGTAGTAGTAGTAGTAGTAGTAGTAGTAGTAGTAGTAGTAGTAGTAGTAGTAGTAGTAGTAGTAGTGTCGTAGTAGTAGTAGTAGTAGTAGTAGTAGTAGTAGTAGTAGTAGTAGTAGTAGTAGTAGTAGTAGTAGTAGTAGTAGTAGTAGTAGTAGTAGTAGTAGTAGTAGTAGTAGTAGTAGTAGTAGTAGTAGTAGTAGTAGTAGTAGTAGTAGTAGTAGTAGTAGTAGTAGTAGTAGTAGTAGTAGTAGTCGTAGGTAGTAGTAGTAGTCGTAGTAGTAGTAGTAGTAGTAGTAGTAGTAGTAGTAGTCGTAGTCGTAGTCGTAGTCGTAGTCGTAGTCGTAGTAGTAGTCGTAGTCGTAGTCGTAGTGTAGTCGTAGTCGTAGTATACCAGTTAGTAGTAGTAGTAGTAGTAGTAGTAGTAGTAGTAGTAGTAGTAGTAGTAGTAAAAGTAGTAGCGTAGTCGTAGTAGTAGTAGTAGTAGTAGTTAGTAGTAGTAATAGTAGTAGTAGTAGTAGTAGTAGTCGTAGTAGAAGTAGTCGTAGTAGCAGTTGGAGTAGCAATAGTCGTAGTCGGAGTCGTAGTCGTAGTCGTTGTCGAAGGTGTAGTCGGAGTCGTACCAGTAGGTCTTAGTCGCCGTCGTCGTGGTAGTAGGTAGTCTCACTCTAAGTAGCCAGCGTCTTTCCAACCGCAGTTTTGTTTGACGTAGTAGTAGTAGTAGTAGTAGTAGTAGTAGTAGTAGTAGTAGTAGTAGTACTAGTAGTAGTAGTAGTAGTAGTAGTGGTAATAGTAGTAGTCGTAGTCGTAGTCGTAGTCGTAGTCGTAGTCGTAGTCGTAGTCGTAGTCGTAGTAGCAGTCGGAGTAGCAATAGTCGTAGTCGTAGTCGTAGTCGTAGTCGTTGTCGAAGGTGTAGTCGGAGTCGTATCAGTAGGTCTTAGTCGCCGTCGTCGTGGTAGTAGGTAGTCTCACTCTAAGTAGTCAGCGTCTTTCCAACCGCAGTTTTATTTGAAGTAGTAGTAGTAGTAGTAGTAGTAGTAGTAGTAGTAGTAGTAGTAGTAGTAGTAGTAGTAGTAGTAGTAGTAGTAGTAGTAGTAGTAGTAGTAGTAGTAGTAGTAGTAGTAGTAGTAGTAGTAGTAGTAGTAGTAGTAGTAGTAGTAGTAGTAGTAGTAGTAGTAGTAGTAGTAGTAGTAGTAGTAGTAGTAGTAGTAGTAGTAGTAGTAGTAGTAGTAGTAGTAGTAGTAGTAGTAGTAGTAGTAGTAGTAGTCGTAGTAGTAGTCGTGTACTGTTCCAGGATTGGCAGCGGACGTATGATGTAGCACAGGTGCTCGTAGTCGTCGTGGCAGTGGCAGTGGCTGGGGTAGTGGTGGCAGTGACCGGGGCGTCGACAGCGATCGTGTCAATAGCAGCGGTGATGGTGGTTGTAATGGAGGGGGAGGATCAGAAGAGGAGGAGGCGGAACAGGATGAGAGAAAGAGGCGAAAGAGGAAGAGGAATATGGAGAGGTGGGTAAGGGGGGCAGTGCGCTCTGCGGCCTACCTCGCTCCGCCAGGAGACGCCAGCGAGCCTCCTGGCAAGCATGCCGCCGCCAGAGGCGTTCGAGGAGTGCAGCCGCTACGATGCTGGAGACACCTTCAAGGAGTTCAGGAAGTGGTCCAGGAGCACCCTGCACCAAGTAAGGAGGCGGGGGAGGGCGGTCAGGATTTGGAGGCAGGCTATTTTGTGAGGAATGAGATGTGTAGGCATCGCCTTGTTGAGCGGGACAATGGGACGACGGCCAGTCTTCGCAAGTGGAAGCGGGTGAAGTTAAGGGGGTTATGACCAAAGTCCAACTATTGGCTTGCATATCGGTGGCAAACAGCAGATCGCATCCGCACCCGCGGTTTTTCGCTTCTCCTGCGGCTCGTGCGCGCCAGGCGTTTCCGCGCCCTCCCTCACGAAACAACGGGCACACGGCGGCCACGCCCATAGGTGATCGCAGAACGCGCGGAAGGGGCGCTCCATACCCTCAGCATATCAGATGTACACATACACATATACATATGTATACGTAGACATGTGTTTCAGTTTTGGTGGCGGCAGTATAGGGACGGAGGGCAATTTTTCCGCATCCTGTTCGTCATCTGTTTCGCTCGGGTTCTTTGACCCCTCCGTATTATCTTGGTCGCCCTTTGCAGTTTTTTTCCCCAAATGTTTCGTGGGGTTCTGGTTTTCTTCCATGCCGCGGCGCGCCCGCGTCTCACCTCACCTCACACCTCATCTCCTCTCTCCTCCTTCCTCTCCTCACCCGCGCTCAACGCGTGCACGGCAAGTACATGAGACACGCGTCTACATACGGCCGCGCGCATGCACACACTCGCACACAACACACACCCACCATACAACGCTAGTGCGCGCCTGGCGTGATCACTGCAGCGTCCATTGAGGCGTGTGCGCGACATAGTGGGCACCCACATGAGACACGTCCCGATATAGCCGCACACGCATCCTTCACATACACATACCATGCCATATACAAGACGTGCGTGTAGGATTCGCAGTGGATAGCAGGAGGCTCTATGCAGGCCATGGCGCAGGGCACGGCAGGCGTGGCACTTTCTCGACACCGGAGGGGGTGCGCAGGGGGTGGTCTCTCACCGCGGTCCCTATACGCGCCAATGTCGCAGGGCCTAGCAGGCGTGGCACTTTCTCGACACCAGAGGGGGTGCGCAGGGGGAGGTCTCTCACCGCGGCCCCTATACGCGCCAATGTCGCAGGGCCTAGCAGGCGTGGCACTTTCTCGACACCAGATGGGGTGCGCAGGGGGGGGTGTCTCACCGCGGTCCCTATACGCGCCAATGTCGCAGGGCACGGCAGGCGTGGCACTTTCTCGACACCGCAGGGGGTGCGCAGGGGGTGGTCTCTCACCGCGGTCCCTATACGCGCCAATGTCGCAGGGCCTAGCAGGCGTGGCACTTTCTCGACACCAGAGGGGGTGCGCAGGGGGTGGTCTCACCGCGGGCTCTATACGCGCCAATGTCGCAGGGCCTAGCAGGCGTGGCACTTTCTCGACACCAGAGGGGGTGCGCAGGGGGTGGTCTCTCAGCGCGGTCCCTATACGCGCCAATGTCGCAGGGCCTCGCAGGCGTGGCAATTTCTCGACACCGCAGGGGGTGCGCAGGGGGTGGTCTCTCAGCGCGGTCCCTATACGCGCCACTGTCGCAGGGCCTAGCAGGCGTGGCACTTTCTCGACACCACAGGGGGTGCGCAGGGGGTGGTCTCTCACCGCGGTCTCTATACGCGCCAATGTCGCAGGGCCTAGCATGCGTGGCACTTTCTCGACACCGGAGGGGGGGCGCAGGGGGTGGTCTCTCACAGCGGCCCCTATGCGCGCCAATGTCGCAGGGCCCAGCAGGCGTGGCACTCTCTCGACACCAGAGGGGGTGCGCAGGGGGTGGTCTCTCACCGCGGTCCCTATACGCGCCAATGTCGCAGGGCTTAGCAGGCGTGGCACTTTCTCGACACCGCAGGGGGGTGCGCAAGGGGGTGGTCTCTCACCGCGGTCCCTATACGCGCCAATGTCGCAGGGCTTAGCAGGCGTGGCACTTTCTCGACACCAGAGGGGGTGCGCACGGGGGTGGTCTCTCACCGCGGTCTCTATACGCGCCACTGTCGCAGGGCCTAGCAGGCGTGGCACTTTCTCGACACCGGAGGCGGTGCGCAAGGGGGTGGTCTCTCACCGCGGCCCCTATACGCGCCAATGTCGCAGGGCCTAGCAGGCGTGGCACTTCCTCGACACCAGAGGGGGTGCGCACGGGGGTGGTCTCTCACCGCGGTCCCTATACGCGCCAATGTCGCAGGGCTTAGCAGGCGTGGCACTTTCTCGACACCGGAGGCGGTGCGCAAGGGGGTGGTCTCTCACCGCGGCCCCTATACGCGCCAATGTCGCAGGGCCTAGCAGGCGTGGCACTTTCTCGACACCAGAGGGGGTGCGCACGGGGGTGGTCTCTCACCGCGGACTCTATACGCGCCAATGTCGCAGGGCCTAGCAGGCGTGGCACTTTCTCGACACCAGAGGGGGTGCGCAGGGGCCGCCAGAGTCTTTCCGACAAAGGCAGCGCTGTCCAGCCGCGTCGAATTCGCGCGGCCCGTGCCGCTTCTGGACGATTTCGGAGCGTCCGCCCAGCTTCGGTTGTCGTGGCAACCACAGCCCAGAGATTTTCCATCCAAGATCACTCGCATGTCGCACGCAGGCGGATCACGTTTGCCATGCAAGTCTTTTGCGCGCACACCTCAGAGACTCTCCGTCGAAGAGACGCGGCGACAGACGTGTGGAAACTGCATGAGACTAGAAAGAGTAGGGAAAGAAAGGGAGGCAGGAGTGCGGGAGAACGCAGCATGAGGCGAGAGGGGGTGTGATTTGCACCAACTTCCAAGTGGCCCCCCTGACTACTCGAGCTGTGGCAATACGTTGTGCATCACCTCGTTGGTTGTTGCGATCCCAGGAAACGGCCCTCGGTGACCACCTCGAACTTTTCCCCGATGAAGGATGGAATGCGGGAAAGAGGGAGGAGGTTCACTCAGTAGTGTGTTGGGTGACAATCTCGGGAAACATTCGCGACGACGGTTTAGAACGCATGTTTCCGCATATATGATCATGAAAAGCAAACACATAATATTTAAATTAAGTATGTGGGGTTCCTCGGTAACGCAGTTAATTGTTTTTAGTTTCTGGTGCGCGAGCCGCTCATCCGAAATCTTCTTGTTGCCTGTACTGCGTCGGCTCTCGATTTGCAGCTGCGTCATCGCAGGGCCGCTCTCCATGGGGGTCGTTGTCCTTCGTGTTCTGGTCAGCGTTGGCTCCCGCCCTCTCCTCCCGCAGTGCTGTCGGGGCAGACGAACGGGGGTGACCGTGAAGGGGAGGGGTGGGAAAATACAGCCGGGCCGCTGAAGAAGGAACTTCTTCCGTTGGGGAGGGGCCCAGTGTTCCTTAATTGTTGTATTGTTTGTCTTAGATTGTCCTTCGGTTTTTGATGGGAAATCGAAGTTTGACTTATGGGAACAAGAGAGTTTCGTTCCTGATGTATGGCTCCTTGTGACAGCGCTTCGGTTGTATCCATGCGTGCAGCTGGCTTCGGCCCCGAAGCAGGTCCTTGATGTATGGCCGCCTCCAGCGCCAGGAGGCGCCGGGAAAACCAGCTGCCTTAGCTGATTCGTGAATTCCTTCTTCTAATCCCACCTTTTTTTGGTCTGGTCCGATGCCGTCAGGCGAGTGTATTTTTGGGACGCGCCGGCTGGCTCTTGATTTTGCCACCAGCGACTCAAACTGGTAACTTCATGTTGGGTTCCGCGAAATTGCTCCGGACGTTTTGTGCGCTCTTATCTGGGACATCACGTTGTCGCGGCGGCTGAGGGCAGCGGGCCCCGTGGGGGCGGATGGCGCGCGTCGCCCGGTGTCGTCCTAGAGGCGTGGGCACGATGTTCTCGCCCCATGTGGGCCTGGGCACGGCGGCGGCATTTGATAAGGAACGTCTTCCTGAGGTCCAGACCCCGGCGCATTCCTCATTGTTTCAAAGCGAGGTGGGTGGCCCGCGTTTGGCCGCCCATCGGTCGCGGGACCCTGGGTTCCTTATCGAAGGTATCCTTATCTAAATCCTCCACCGTGCGTAGTTCAAGGTCCACTCGACTCATTTTCAAAATGCTCCTTGGTAAGTATTCGGGTCGTTGTTTCGTTCGGGTGACCCCTCGCTTCTCGGAGCCAGGGGCTCCGCGTGGCGCACGCCACCGCCTTTCTCGCGGTTGTGGAGCGAGCACAGCGTTGCTGGTCCACCTTCGCTTTTGCGCGCATTTCCCTTGGGCTCCTTCCCTGGGTCTCTCAGCGCCAGCCGCAGGTCCCTGAGGATCCGTAGGAGACTCTGTGGGCCCCGCCTGGCCTGCGAGGGATTCCTGAACAGCCTAGGGGACCCCGATGGACTTCGATTGGCTCTCATGGTTTCCTCGGCCTCCTCTTCCCTTCCTGTTCCCCTACAGCCTCGGAGCAGGTTTTCTCCGCCGCCGCATCCATGCCGATCCACAGCGTGTTGGGAACTGCCACGCCTATACCGGCCGCTATTTTGTAGCGCAGTTGTGTTACATGTGCACCACAATGGGTATTCATGACGCCGTGCCATCATTTCGATTTGTACACGCCCACCACGACGTGTGTGTGTGTGTATTAATTAAACGTTCAGTGTCGAAGAAAACGCGACACATCCTACTGCGTGTTGAGACCGCATGGCGACCATATCGGATGTTACCCAACCGTGCATATCAGTGTGAGGGGGCCGATCGGTCATTCATTCTCCCTGGGTGCGTGGCTGAAGTGGGGATCCGTAGTGAGGATTCTGCTCATTGCGTTGTTGTTGTTTGTTTGCTTGTTTGTTGTCGTCGTCCTACCCGCGACTCACCTGCGACCCACCCCGCGACCCACCCTGCGACCCGCCCGCGACCCAACACGCAACCCACCCGCGACCCAACCGCGACCCACCGGCGACCCACCCTCGACCCATCCGCGACCCACCCGCGACCCACCCGCGACTCGTCCCGCGACCCACCCACATTGCTTTAACGAAAAACCGGCACCTGCGGCGAGCTTGTTGTGCAATTTCAGAATGAGGCGCTTGCGGCGGGCTTCTTCAGAGCCCCGCAGGCTGCAGACGTCCCCGCCGCCCCCTCACTCACGCAAGAATCTGAGGCAGGGCTGCCCAGCGATGAGCCGCGCGCGCCGGTGCTCGGCCCGCGCGGCCACCTGTCCAATTCGCGTGCTCGGCACTTCCTATCAGTCGCTGCCCCCCGGGGGCCGGTCTTTCACCGGCCTGCGCCCGGGCTGCGCGATCGCGGTTTTCAGGGATTGCCTTTGCGCGCGCGGCGCGCCCGACGCTGGCGCGTTCGACGCGCGCGACGCTCGTCGCGGGCCTGCGCTCGACATGCTGCGCGGCGGCGGTAGTTTGAGTGAGGTTCTCGCCGCCAGACAGCGGCGCGACGCCGCGTCGCGCCAAGGTTCGCACCTGCCGTTCGAGCGCGCCGAGCCCGCGGCCGCGCTCGAAGCGGCGGCCGCGGCGAGCGGGGGCGAAGACGAGCAAGGCGCAGCATCCGCCCGCGCGCTGGCACGCCGCCGCGGGCACAACCGGACGCCGGCGCACATCTCGGCGCGTTCTGCGCCTCGGCCCAGGATCCGACCGCGCGCCGCAGCCGCGGGCGCGCCCGCGCGCTCTGCGTCTCTCGCATCAGGGACCTTGCCAGGCCGCGTTCGCTTGCTGCGCTGCGATCCGCGCGCCGGGTCGGGCAGCGGGCGCCGCGCGCTGCGCGGCGCGGCGCCGTGCGCGCGAGCGCGGCCGCTTCGGCATTAGATGCAGCCGCGCCCGCGCGCGGCAGCAGCGCGCGGCGCGGCGTCCTCGAGCTGCGCTGCGCTGCCCCGCTGCGCGCCGCGCCCATCGTCGCGGCGCGGCAGCGCTCGACAGGCAGGTTGGCGCGGAGAGCGCCAGACTGGCACTCGTCAAGGGGCGCCTGGGGCATTTGTGTTGGAGCGCGCTGCGCGCGTTGCGCGGGGGCAAGAATGCCTTCGGGTGCCCCGCCACGCGCGCGGCACGCGGCGGCTTGCGCGGCCGCGCGCGCGACGCGCGGGGGGCGGAGGAGCGCGCCGCGAGAAGCGCTGCGCCTTCGTCGGGCGCGCGGGGCTTTGGGCCCAGCCCTGCGCCGCGCGGCGCAGGGTCATGCCTTTCTGGGCGGTTCGCTCTGGCGTCGGGCGGTCTTCCCGCTCCCGCCTCGCACTGCCGCGCGCGCCAGAGCGCGGCCGCGCATCGTCTGTCGGGTGTAGCTGCGCCCGCAAGCGGCAACGGCGTGCAGCCTCGAGCTGCGCTGCGCTGCCTTGCTGCGCGCCGCGCCCATCGTCGGGGCGCGGCAGCGCCCGACAGGCAGTTTTGCGCGGCGAGCGCCAGACTGGCGCTCGTCAAGGCCCCCCTGGGGCATTTGTTGTTGTTGTTGTTGTTGTTGTTGTTGTTGTTGTTGTTGTTGTTGTGTGTGTTTGTGTTTGTGTGTGTGTGTGTTTGTGTGTGTATGTGTGTTTGCGTTTTGATGTGAATATATTTTAAATATAGGCATCAGCGTTTTGGTGTATGTTTTGTGCTTTTGGGTGCGTGGTCTTTGAATTGTTTTTGTTTGTGCGCTTCTGTGCCTTTTTGTGTCTTGTGGTGTGTTTGGGTGTTCTCTTTGCTGATTGTTGGTGCGCCTGGGACCCTTTTTTTGGTAGTGTTTGGTACGTGTTGGAGTTTTTGTTGGTGTTTCTTGGTGGTATTTGTTTTTTTTGGTTTTGTCTATTGCACATTTGTGTTTTTTGGTGGTAATTGATGTGTGTTGGTTGTTTGTTGGTGCTTTTTGGTGCGTCTTGGTGCCTTGTTGCTAGTTTTTGGTGCGTGGTGGTCCCGTTTTGGTGATTGCTGGTGCGTGTTGCTACCTTTTGGGTGATCTATAGTGAGTTATATGTTTTTTTTTGTGTGTGTGTGTGTGTTGTGTGTGTGTGTGTGGTTGTGTGTGTTGGTGTGTTTTTTGTTGCTTTTTTGGAGCGTTGTGGTGTTTTGTTGTTTTTTTGTTGCGTGTTGATGTTTGTTTGGTGATGTTGGGTGTGTTTGTGTGCTTTGCTTGTACTTGCTATTGCGTTTTGGCGACTGTTTAGTGCGTTCTATTGCCTCGTAGGTGTTTTTGATTATTTTTGGTGCAGTTTGGTTTCTTGTTGATGATGTGCTGTGCGTTTTGGTGTGTGTTTGGTCTTTTGTTTGTGTGTTTTGGTGTTGTTTGGTCAGTTTTTTTTTTTTTTGTTTGTTTGTTATTTTTGATTTTTGGTTGTTTGTCGTGGTTTCCGTGCTGCTTCGTGTTTTTTCGTGCCGTGTTAGTGCTTAGTTTTTTCTTCCCTGTGTCGTACACTATTCGTGTTTTGTCGCACCGTCTCCGTGCTGTTTGGAGCTGTTTCTTGCCCTGTCCGTGTTTCTATCCTTTGTTTTGAGTTCTTTTCGCGTTTGAATGTAATTCCGTGCCTTGTTCGCGCGTTTTTGTGTTTTTCTCATGCCTTTGCAGTGTTCTGTCGTGCCTTTGCGCGCTCTTCTCGCGCTTTGTTGTGGTGATTCCGCTGACACCGCGTCGCCGCGCGTGGCCGCCTCGTGGCCGCTTCGTTGCCGCCCACTCCGGAAGTCCGCCGAGGTTTCGCCGCGTCGCCGCCCGTGGCCAGCTCGTGACCGCCTCCTTGCCGTCCACTTGGGGGGGGTGGGTCCGCCGAGGTTTCGCCGTGTCGCCGCGGCCGCCTCGTGGCCGCCTCGTGGCCGCCCATTCGGGGGTTCCGAGGTGGTGCCGCGTCGCAGCCCATGACCGCCTCGTTGCCGCCCACTTGGGGGGGTCCGCCGAGGTTTCGCCGCGTTGTCGCCCGTGGCCGCCTCGTGACTGCCTCGTTGCCGCTCGCTCGGCGTGTCCGCCGAGGTTTCGTCCGCCAAGCCGCCCGTGGCCGTCTCTCTGCCTCTCACGCATTGCCTCGTTGGCGCCCACCGCGCTTGGGGGATCCGCCGAGGTTTCGCCACTTTGCCGCCCGTGGCCGCCCCGTTGCCGCCCACCGGGTTTGGGGAGCCCGCTCAGGTTTCGCCGCGTTGCCGCCCGTGGCCGCCTCGTTGCCGGCCCACCGCGCTACGCTTGCATTTAGGAGGTCTCGTTTCTGGTTCTACGCAACTGGGCAACACATCTTGCATCACATACCTTCCACCACATACCGCATTGATTACGCCACATACCTTGCACCTCTTAGTTTCCATGGCTCCCACCACACAGCTTGCACCACATAGCTTGCACCACATAGCTCGCACGCCCACTGTGCAATAGCGCACTGTATGGGGCCCACGCCGCCAAACATTTTTGTGACAAGGAATGCTCAGGGTATCTCGCCCTGGCGTCGGCCACATTCGGACCTCGGATTAGCCGCAGTTCCAGCCGAGTGCGCATCTGCTCGTGTCCGATGTGCTGCCCGGCCGCCGTCGACCCCGCTCAGTGTTCGAGGCTCTTGCCGTGCGCGGTGTGCTTGTCTTCGGGTGCGAAGTGCACTCGGGTCCCCAGTCGTCGCCCAGAGGCTGCGCGGAGCTCGTCGCCGTGGAAGAGAGATGAGAAGCTGTGATTCGAGAAGGCTCTGGAAGATCGCACGGTCCACGTGGCGCGTTCCAAGAAGGACTTCGCCCTCGAAGATGGGAGGGGCTGGAATCTCTTACGTACTTGACGAAAGGTGGCGGAACGGCGAGGGAAGCATACTTGGGGCGCCCCTCGCGGGTGGAAGCCGGCGGAAGCAAACCGATGTCTTCCAAGAGATTGCCATTTTTTAGGGTTCAGGGTTTCCGGAACCCGCCATTTGCTGAGGTACTTGGGTCGGCCTTTGGCATCGGGTGAAACCGTCGTTGCCGTTTCTGCCTCAAGGAGCACCCTTTGCCTCGCCTTGCTGCATGTTCGTCGCCACTGTTCACGCCGCTCAAGATTTCAGCAACCCCCAGCGAATTAGCCGTCCCCGCCAACGGCTTGGGAGGCGAAATCCTCTTCATCCTCCTGCTCCTCCGCATTCTTCTTCCGAGGCCCCGCCTGCCATTCTTGCTTGGAATTTTAAGTTTTCAGTTGATGTTGATAGACCAGCCTTCCATCGTGCCCGTCGGAAAGACTACAGCCCCATCGTTGAGCTTGCACGCTCAGAACCAATGTCCCTCACCCAACATTCTTTGGAGTGGTCTCACCCACTCCACTCTCTCACAGTCAGTGTCTGTTCTCTTTATCGTTTCCTGCTATTTTGCCTTCATGATTATGTCCTCCGTGTGCTGCTGCGTGTTGTGCTGCTGTGCCTCTTTGAGCTGTATTACTTGCTTTCGCAGCCCTTTCTCCTTCATGACAGTCCCCCTTCCCCAAGTTCCATCCAGCCATTCTTCTTTTCGCATGCCTCCCCTCGAGGAGGAGCGTCCTCGCCTTCCTGTGCGAGGTTCCTGTGAAGAAGCGAATTTTCGCTGCGCAGGCACGGGAGATTCTGCAGGCGCCGTCTTGCCTGGAGACGGGGCTAGAACATGCAGGGGTTCACGGAGGTACGAAGGATGGGAGGGATAAGTTGCACATGCTGATGCGAGTCCAACATGGGTGCGCAATCATCAACAGTACGGCCCTAATACCGCCAACCAGTGATTGCACTTAACGGCTCTCGTTTGGCATGTGAGCGATTTGGGAGTCGAGCCCCCAGCCAACCAGGGATTCTGATTTTGGTGCAGATCTTCAGGGATTCCGATTTTGGCTCTGGATTCTGATTTTGGCGCAGCCCCCCAGGGACATCCCACCAATCGACCGTATTCAGCCTGGCTTGATCACCCTCAGCTTAATCAGGCCCGAGCCTTTTAGCTTGCCGCTGCGGCTGCGCACTGTGTCCCTCCGAGGACACCCAGGATCTGAGGCGCGATGATTCCGCAGCCCGCGCAACGGCAGCAGCAGCTGCTGCACGAGGGGGGCACCGCCCACCGGCTCACTGCTGCGAGCTCAGCGGGGGCCCTGAGTCTTGCCGAGCCGGTGCCGAAATTGTCTGGGCGGCCCCCCATGACCGGTTGCCAGGTGTTCTGGGGCCTGGTCTTCTACGGCCAGCTCGTGCTGACGCTGCTCCTCGTGGCGCTCGTCATCGTTGGGAAGAACGTGGTCTTCCCCGATGCATCCGGAGCGTGCCCCGCAGACTTCCCGCATCCCGCGCAGTGGTGCGCCGAGGGAGGCGTCGCCTGCGTGACTTTTCCCATGTGCACTAGCAGCGGCTTGGCGGACAAGTTCAGCCATTGCCAGCTCAAGCGCCTCACCGCCGACGACCATCGCCCGCTCGAGCTGGTCGCGGAGAGCACCCCGCCGATGAGGGTGTGGGAGCTGCTGGCCAAGCACGTGGAGGTGCCCGTCGTGGTGCTGTTCGGTATACTCCTGCTCTGCACCGTCTGGCTGGCGCTCCTCCGCGTCGCCGCGGCCGTCGTCATCTGGGGCACCCTCGCCTTGAACGCCGCGGCCTTCGTGTATGCGTCTGCGCTTCCGCGCATGCCCGCCGCCGGGTTCCTAGGGAAGCCGCGCAGCAGCGTGGCGGCGCTGCCTCTTCGGTGGCCTCTTCGATGGTCTCCTCGGGGATCCTGTGGGGCGGGGGCCTCTCGAGGGCCCTTTCTCGGCGATCGGGGCCTATCGCCAACGCCCAGGCCGGGTCGGCGAGGCAGGCTCGGCCTGGGCCAGGTCTGGCTGGACGAGGTCCAGCCGGGCAAGCTTGGGCGGGCGAGACTGGCCGCGCAAGAGGTCCGTCGGGCGAGGTCGGGCCAGGCAAGTTCGGGTTGAGCGGGCTCGGCTTGGGCTGTTTCGAAGCTGCCCAGCGCTGAAGCGGGAGCGACGCGCGAATTCGGTCGGGGTGAGGGCGAGCTCGGCTGGGGCGAATTCGTCTGGCGGCGAGCTCTGCTTGGCGAGTTCGTCTGGGGATGTGCGTGGAATAGGCTGGTTCGGTGCGTGGCGAGCTCGGCTGGCCAGTTTGAGTCGGGGCGAGCTCGGCCGAGCGACTTCAGACCGTCTGGGTGAGCTCGTCAGGGTGAGTTTGGCTCGGGTGCGTGTGTGTATATGAGTGTGTGTGTGTTTTCGCGCTCTGCAGCCCCTGCGCAGCACAGGTGGTCTTGCATGCGGCCGCAGTCTCGCTGCCTCGCTTGGGGGCCACCGCCGTTGCGGTTCGCCTCCCACTTTGCCTTTCGGCCTCTCTTGTGACGGCCTGCTGGGAACGTCCTTTGCCCTCGCTGGGCCCCGCCCGTGCGCCACTTGCATTGGGCGACGCCCAACTCCATGCTGTGATGCCGTGTACCGGCTACGGAGTGGCGCTCCTTCTTCTCCGGCGCATCTGCCATCGCCCCCGTGCCCTGCGACGGCTCGGCCAGTCGCATCGCAGCCTCGCCGCTGGCCTGCTCCGCCACCCGCCGCCCTGGGCTCCTAGCACCTGCTGCAGCGCTGGCGCGCTTTCTCTTGGCCGCCGCCAGCTCCCATGTCGCTGCCTCCCCCCCCGCTGGTGCCCCTCTCTGGCCGCTGGCTGCTCCTGCTCTTCGACTTGCTGGGCCATGCCCACACTGTGGCTTCTGGCCCCCCCTGGGTGTACTGCTACGCCGACCCGCAGCTGCTGCCAGGTGCTACCCTTTAGCTCGGCCGCGCCCGCGCACCCGCCGCAGCCTGGCTGCCTGAGTGTGCCCCCGCGCCCCGCTCCCTTCTCTGCGGCCGCCATCCTTCCTTACCCCTCCTCCTGCATGCGGGCTAATTCGCGTTGCCGTGTCCTGGTCTCGCCCAGGCGCGCGCGCGGAACGCCTCTGGCGCGCTACGACGTAAAAGTAAGTGTGTGTGTGTGTGTGTGTGTCTGTGTGCATCAGGGCGGGCTTGGCCAGGGAGGAAAGAGGGGAGACCATAAGATCGAGGGAAGCGGGAGGCCTGATCGGGGAAAAGTAAGGCCAAGATTGCCAGACATCGTCTGTTGTTGCCGATGTTGGGCGGTCTGGGCGTGAATCTTGACTGCCCACTTTTCGTGATACCTCTGTGCTGGGAGCTCGCGCCACATTTCAGGCTAGGGCCCGCCATTTTTCGGACCGTCCCGTCAGGCAGGTTCGAGTCCCCCAAGCTCGAGTCTCACGCATCTTCGATCGCAAGGGGGTGTCCCTCCAGCGCGCTTCCCACCAGGTTCGGCGCAGCCGAGCCCGCCCAATCCAGCATCGGCCAGGGTCGCACCAGCCGAGCGGAGAAGGCGAAGGCGCTCAGCCCCTTCTCCTTCTTCCTGTGCCCGCGGGGGTCCAGCGGAGTGAGCCACCATGCCGGCACGAGTGACATTTTGCGTGTGTGCGCCCGGCCAGTCGCACAGCCGTTGCCACTCTCCTGCGCTCCGGGGGGGGGGGCTCCCCCTCCCAGGCAGGTCCAGACAACGTCTGGCTCCGTTGTGTGCTGCCAACCGTGCAGTCCTGCGCCCTGTGCGGGTCCGGCGAGGTGCCGACAGACCCGCACGAGACCTCGAGTGCCTGAGTGCTGCCGAGTGCAGCTGTGGTCTCCTACATCCTGCGCCTCTTGGGGGGTCTGGCAAAGCGCCCGGCAAAGCGCCCCCCACTCAGTGTCCAAGCTGGGAACTCGCTTCCTCGGTCGCTGCCGCATGTGCAACGGTCTGGCGGAACGCCCCCGCCCCCCCTCCCCCACGAATCCACACGAGACCCCGCCTGTTGGAGTGCTGCCAGAGTGCAGCAGTCGCCACTATCCTGCACCCTCGGAGGGCCGGCGAGGCCCCTTGTCTTGTGCAGGCCCAAAGGGTGCGCTCGAGAGAGGGCCTCGCCTTTTGGTGCGTTCCGCCCAGAAGTTGGCGGATGCAAGGCCGTAGCGGCGACGCCGGCGGAAGGCCGACGGAAGGCGGTCCTCCAAGAGACGCGCACCTTGTGGGGTTCGGAACTCCTGGAACGGACTCCGCGTGTCGCCGCCTATTTCCCATGACCCTTGGGGTGGGCGGGCGGGCAGCGGAGCGACGGAGCGAGCCCCTGCAGGCATCCAGCGAGGCCGCGCACCCTTGGGTGCTGCCAATATTTTTGTGCGTTTTGTTGTCGTTGTGTGTGTAGGGGTAGACCCTGTCTTAGCTGATTCGCCTAGTTCGCGTCCCGGACTTTGCTTTCGCCGCCTGACCGTTGTGTAGGACGGCTTCATCATCTTCGGGGTGTTGAGCGTTGCCGGCAGCGATGGGGAGCAGGTGTAGGGGTAGACGGTGCCATGGAGAAGAGGAGCGGGGGGGGTGACCCGCGCTGGTGCTCGACGAGGCCCAGAGATCTCACGTTGAAGCCGGGCGGTCCTGTGTCGTGGGGCCCCTGTGCCTAAGGGGAGTCTCGTTTGTTGCCGCCTGGAGGGGGGTGGGATTGGATATGAGATGACGTCGGCCCGCTCCAGCGTGAATTTGCCCGTGCTGCTGCAGAGGCGGGCCCTGACGAGGACGCGGCAGTATGGGGGGCTCACGCTGCCGAAGCGCCAAACGCTTTTTTGTGTTAGTTATCATCGTAATGTCGTGGGGTGGGAGGGAGGGGTAAGAAGCCGGTAGTTCGACAACTTCCCGTTCCACCACTATCGAGCTCAGCCTTCCACAATTGTAAGCTTCAAGTGCGTGTGTGTGTGTATTTGTGTGCGTGTGTGTGTGTGTGTGTGTGTGTGTGTGTGTGTGTGTGTGTGTGTTGGCCCCCGTTTGCGGGGAGGGGGCAGTCTTTCGCAAACCACGCGACTGTCCCAGAACCGCTTTGCGGCCAAACCTTCAAAATGACTGTTGGGAGCAAGGTCGACTTCATCATCGTTGTGTGGTTAGACTTTTGCGGCAGGGATAGTGGTATGTAGGTGTAGGGATGTCGGGGGGGAGCTACTGACATCGGGTCGCTAGGCCACCGTCGACAACCACGAACAAACATATTCAGGCATGCGCGAATTCGCTGCGGGCACGGGGGCGTCTCGGGTATTAATATTAGAGCGTGAAAGAGGAATGTAGTAGAAGAGTGTAGTAAAGAAGCTCGACGGCGAGGTTTCTGGATAGAGCATTTAGGACAATTCGATCGGGTGGCTTCTCATTATTGGCAACCGCGAAGAAATGGTGCATGCATGCACGAATTCGCTACGGACAGGGCAGCATCTCGGGAATAAGATGAGGGCGAACAAAAAGTATGTATGGGATGCGATTGGCGTCGGTATCTCCAGCGGGAAGGATCAATACATTAGAGAGGATAGCTTCATCTTCGGCAACCACGAAGGAAATATGCATGCACGCGCAAATGAACAATAGACAAGGGGGCGTCTCGGGAAGTAGGATTAGGGCGTATAATAATGTAGCAGACGCGTGTAGTAAAGAAGCTCGGCGGCGAGATCTCTGGCGAAAAGTTTAGGATAATTCGACCGGGCGGCTTCATCATCGACAACCACGAACACATGCATGCATGCACGAATTCGCCACGGCAAGGTGGGGGCGTTTCGGTAAGTAGGATTAAGGCGAATCAGAAAGGAGTGGAAGAGTATAGTGGAGAAGCTCGACGTCGAGATCTCTGGCGATAATTTTTAGGATTATTAGGTAGCTTGGCTTCTTCACCGAAGGCCACGAACATATGAATGCATGCACGAATTCGCTCTGGCGAAAAGGAATTAATCTAGTTATGTAGGACGGTTTCATCATCTTCGGGGTGTTGGGCGTTGCCGGCAGCGATGGGAGCAGGTGTAGGGGTAGAGGGCGCCGTGGAGAAGAGGAGCGGGGGGGGGGACCCGCGCTGGTGCTCGACGAGGCCCAGAGATCTCACGTTGAAGCCGGGCGGTCCTGTGTCGTGGGGCCCCTGTGCCTAAGGGGAGTCTTGTTTGTTGCCGCCTGGAGGGGGGTGGGATTGGATATGAGATGACGTCGGCCCGCTCCAGCGTGAATTTGCCCGTGCTGCTGCAGAGGCGGGCCCTGACGAGGACGCGGCAGTATGGGGGGCTCACGCTGCCGAAACGCATTTTTTGTTTTAGTCATTCTCGTAAGGTCGTGGGGGGGGAGGGAGAGGGAAGAAGCCGATATTTCAACGATTCGACGACGTCCCGTTCCACCAGTATCGAGCTCAGCCTTCAGAACTGTAATCTTCAAGTGTGTGTGTAGGGGGGGAGAAGGGGGGTCGGGCGGATGCCCGACGGGACGTCTGAGCGTCGCGAAGCGCAGCTGTCTGTGTACAGTCAAGCCGCTGACAAGCCGCTGAAATAAGGAGCGCGTTGGGTTCAGGAGGGTTTTGGTAGCTGGGATATTCCTTAGATCAAGGTTGGGTAACCTGTTCGTGACTGAGCTTGGCGTGGCCAGAAACACATCCTTCGTTCCTTATGCAGCGCTCCTTCAGGTAGCACAATGACTGTGGAGCTTGCAGGTTTGCAAATGAGCCTGTTTTGCAATTGCGGCGGCGGGTTTTTACTACCTCACCCAGAACTGGATGCTCCTGGTGGTCGTAGCGATCCACGCGGTGCTGTGCGTCGTGCGGAGGGATGCGGTTCAGATGGCGATCTCTGCGACGCAGCTTTCTTCGAAGGCACTGAGCCAAACGCCCTCCATCGTAATGGTGTGCCTCGCGCTGAAGGGCGTCTGGGTCATCTACGGCCTCATCTTCATGTATGGGATGACGCAGATGATGAAGAACCAGGATTGTGGAGGACGATCAATGGTGAGGAAGCATGTTGCCAAACAATTTCCATGTCTTAAACATGTTTTCAAAATGGTTCAAGCATGCTTGGGACATGATTCACATAGTTTAAATCGTTTGAACGAATCTTGCATTCAATGGTCGGAATGTTAGGGTGTCCATTGACATGGCATCAGCAAAACCAGGATATCGACCCCGACAGCTGCAACCTGACCCTGGCGTTCCCCGGGATGATGCTGACGAAGATCGGGACATTCTGTTTCGTTTCGGAGAACAACAGCCCGTACTCATAACCGGTCGGAGGTCAGCGCATATTTCGTGGATCAGCGTTGGGCCCCGTTTCCTGCCGCGCGGAACGCGCAGGGGGCGGCGCCGAATGCGCTGCTAAAGGGGGTCCAGCGCCAATCTAAGAAATCCGCGCGGACATTCGACAAATTGTTGACGCTCCGCGTATCCCCACCAGAATGACGGACTCGGTTGCTCAGGTACACGTCTTGTCACTGTGTGGGCCGTGCCTCATGGCAGGCATCGAATTCCTCGACATTTTGTCCAGTGCATGTGCTCGAGCTTCCCAGGATGCCCCCCGCCGTCAGTCCCCCCACTGCCTCGCGGCTGCTTTGTGAGTGGGCCGGCCGGCTTGTGCGCCTCTGGTAGCTAATTAGGCTTGCCCGTTGGCCCGGACACTCTGCCCGCCGCCTGCCTCTTCGCTTGCGGCCGCGACCGAAAAAAAGAAGAAGTATCCCCACCAGCCCATCCAGAAGCCATGCCCAGGGTAGTCGCGGTGATCAGGGGAGTGGGGGAGCATGCAGAAGAACAAAGGGCGGGGGAAGCCGTCATATACCCCAAGAGGGGCAGGATGTAGGAGGAATCGTCGTCGTCGTCGTCGTCGTCGTCGTCGTCGTCGTCGTCGTCGTCGTCGTCGTCGTCGGAGGAGGAGGAGGAGGAGGAGGAGGAGGAGGAGGATAGGGATAAGGAGGAGGAGGAGGAGGAGGAGGAGGAGGAGGTGGAGTAGGGCGAGGACGAGGAGGACGAGAAGGAGGATAAGGAGGAGAAGGAGGGAGAGTTGGGTACCTCGGGGATCCTCTTGAGGCCTCGTATAGGGTCTCTTGGGAGCCTCTTGGAGGCCTCTTGGGGCCGCCTGGGCGCCTCTTGGGGCCTTCTCTTGGGGCCATCTTGGAGGACATCGATCAAAAATGAAGGGAGCTCCAATTAGCCTCCCCCCTCAGGAACACCGAACATCGAGCGCTCTTGGGGCGCTCTTGGGCGCTCTTGGGGCCGTCTTGGGGCTCTCCTGGACCTCTCCTGGGGCCCTCTTGGGCCATCTTGGAGCCATCTTGAGGCCTCGGATGGTCATCGGAAGCGAAAAGAGGGGGTCGGGGGGAGGTGTAAACCCCTCCCCGAAGGGGAAGAAGGGGGCTGGAAGAGGAAACTCCCTAGAACACCTACGCCCAGAGGACTGGTGGGATTGATGTTTACTTGCCGACGCGGCAGCGATGCCGCCGCGGGCGTTCAAGATTGAACGCCGCCCGTGGCCCACGACCCGGGAACATGGAACGACCTGGCAATCGAGAAGCCGCCGATCGTTCAGGGTGGAACGATCCACGCGGTGTAGAAACCAATGGGAGGGTCGTCACAGCACCAACCTGCCGTACGCGTCAGGGGCCGACCTGAACGATGGCTTGGCGATTTCGTGGGCCATCTTCGTTTCGATTTCGTTTTGCAGCAAAGGCGAAACGAAGACAAAACGAGGGAGGAAACGAAAACAAAACGAAAACGACAAGCACTGCTTTGGTCGAGCCCTGCCTGCCGTACGCGTGGTTTTGTTCTCCGGTCGTCTACACCACCTTCTTCTTCCAGAACGCGGCCCTCGCCGCCTGCGCCACGGGAGTGGGCGCCTGGTACTTCCCCGCCGCGGTCGCGGCGGCACCGGCGGCCGGCAATCCCGCGGTGGTCCGAGGGAGAGCCTCGCTGCGACCAGGGGCAACGTCAGGGGCATAGGACAGGCTCACAGGGGGATCCGAAGAAGAAAAAATCGCCACAAACCTACAGGATCCGGCTTGAATAAGGAACACTTGCTTTTCAAAACGGGCTCGGTCGTTCCTTCGGACTTGGTAGACTTCCTTGGAAAAAGGGGCTTCGTTCCTTATTTATCGTTCCGTAGGTCAGGCGAGATCCTGTACACTGTTGGCGCTCCGCGCGGATTTCTTGGGTCCGCGCCTGGGCCCCCCTCTGGCGGCGCCTCTGGCGCCGCCCCTTGGCGCGCTCCGCGCGCCAGGGAGGGGGCTCCAGCGCAGATGCCAGACATACGCGCGGAGCGCCAACAGTTTAGGGTTGTGCAGTTTTGTTTTTTATTTCGGGCATAGGATGGGCTCACAGGGGAATGCACAGACCCCAAATCGCCCATTGGTCGCCGATATGGGCCCGATGGCCCACCCCGTCTAGGAGCGTGCGATTTCGCTGCCAGGGGCCCGATGTTTGCCCCCCCCCCCCCCCCCCACACGCACACACCTGAGCCGGTCCCCCCCTGACGTTCCCCCTCATACGACCGCCGCTCCAACTCCCACCCCCTCCCCTCACCTCGCCCCCTCCCCTGCTCTCCGTGCTGTTGGGCGGCGGAGGGAGGATGGGGGAGAGGGGTAGGACAGAGCTGCGGGTCGCGGCGAGTGCCTCTGAGGTCGGGGCGACGCTCGCCTTCACGCGTTCCTCTGGGGCGGTCTCCGTCGCATCCCTCATCATGGCCCTGGTGGAAATGGCAAGCACGGAGGGCGCAAACATTCTGCGACTACCAGCGAATCCTTCCCCTGCGGATGCAATCGAAGCTGGTCGCAGACGTCCTCCAAATTCTAGCCCCCAGCGATTTGTTTCAGAAATGTGGCCTGCAGGGGTAGGGATCACATGTGCTTGCCTAGACATGTCCATGCCCGTTCTCCTCGTCCACTTGCCCCTCCTGCCCTTTTCGTGAGAGGGAGGTTCAGAAGGTAATGTGGGGGGTAATGGTCATGTATTCGCCCTCCACAAGGCGAAGCGGAATCAGCGGAAGACGTTCAAGTGCAACCCCATCCGGTGCTTGATCGCAATGATCTGGTGCTGGGTTCAGTCGATTGTCGAGGCGCTGTCGCGCTTCAGCCTGGTGGCCCACATGTTCCACGGCGGTAGCCTCACGGAGGCGGCCTACAAGACCACGGACATACTGAAGCGGCGCCTGAGCCAGGCGTGACCAGAATGTGATACCCAGATCTCTGATGATCTCGACGACTTAGTTTTCCTAATCAGATTTTATCGCTGATTTCAGCCACATACATGTGGGGCCCGTTATCGGGCCCCGTGGCCAGAAACAACGCTCCGCAGCGAGAAACTTTCCCTGGGGAAGGGGTCGGGGCCTCTGGAAGTGCCGCTTATGCCAGGCCTCGGAGATGAAGCAACGACCTGTAAATATATTTGTTTTGGCGCTCCGCGCGGGTTTCTCGGATCGGCGCTGGGGCCTTCCTGGCGGCGCCTCCAGCGCCGCCCCTGGCGCGCTCCGAGCGCCATGGAGGGGGGTCCAGCGCCGATCCAAGAAATCCAGACGGAGCTTCGAAAGTTTATATTTGTTGTTTGTTACATGTGTTCGTTCTAAGGCCGTCATCGCCGACAGCATCGTCCACAAGGAGATGACGCAGATCTCGATGCTCCTCGGCACCGCGATGGGATTTGCGGTTTGGGCCTACCTGGACAAGGAGGAAAACCTTGGGGTCTTTGCCGCGATCGGGCACGGGGCGCACGACATAGGTTCGGCATCACCCACCATGCTTGTGGTGTGCGTGTGTGTGTGTGTGTGTGTGTGTGTGTGTGTGTGTGTGTGTGTGTGTGTGTGAGTCGGCCTCCCAGGGGCGACGCGCGCTTCGAAATCTTGTGGCGTGTGCTCGGCGGCGGGCGGTGTCTGTCTATACCCCCTGGGTAGCGGTATACTCTGAAAGGTGTGTGTGTGTGTGTGGACTGCGTGTCTGGTCTGGACGTGCGCCCGCGAGGGGATCGTCTATGATTTGTATGTCCCTATGCGTCCCAGAGGTGGGAAAGGCGAGCAGTATATGATCATTGCGTTGATCCTCGTGATGCTGTTCTTTGTGCGCAACCCTCTTTTCACGATTGTCGTGGTGATCCTCATCAACGCCAACTTCAGCATCACCGACAAGACGGTCAATTCCTTCAGCATCAGCATTTTCTTCGCGTCGATCTCCGCTATTATCTTCACATACTTTGCCCACGTGATCGCGTGCTCGTGCGACGTGATCTGCTACTCCTTCGCCATCGAGGCCGAAAAGGGGGAGCAACAGGAGCGCATGACTGAGCTCTACGACCTCTTTCGTCGCCAGGCCTTTCAGGCGGACGCCTCGCAGGCTATGCGCTACCCCGCCGAGGTGGAAGCGCCTGCCCATCATTCGGCCCGAGTCATTGCTTACCGCGCGCAGCCCTGAGCTGCAGCCGTGGCAGCGCCTCATCGCAGCACTGCCAGCGATGTGAGGGGGGTGGCCGTGGCCATAGCAGCGTTCGTGGTAGAGCCAGGGTGCAGAGTAGAGGCGGGCCCATTTGCGGTTCAGGATTCTCGTGGTTCTGGAGGAGGAGGCGTAGGCGGGCTGGCTACATCAATCTTGGTTCCTC